TTGGGTCCTCCTCCCAGAGTGCGAAGAGCCTTGGCGTGACCCTGGACAACACCCTGTCGTTCTCCGCTAACATCAAGGCGGTGACCCGATCCTGTAGGTTCATGCTCTACAACATTCGGAGAGTACGACCCTGCCTTACACAGGAAGCGGCACAGGTCCTAATCCAGGCACTTGTCATCTCCCGTCTTGATTACTGCAACTCGCTGTTGGCTGGGCTCCCTGCCTGTGCCATTAAACCCCTACCACTCATCCAGAATGCAGCAGCCCGTCTGGTGTTCAACCTTCCCAAGTTCTCTCACGTCACCCCACTCCTCCGCACACTACACTGGCTTCCAGTTGAAGCTCGCATCTGCTACAAGACCATGGTGCTTGCCTACGGAGCTGTGAGGGGAACGGCACCTCCGTACCTTCAGGCTCTGATCAGTCCCTACACCCAAACGAGGGCATTGCGTTCATCCACCTCTGGCCTGCTGGCTCCCCTACCTCTGCTGAAGCACAGTTCCCGCTCAGCCCAGTCAAAACTGTTCGCTGCTCTGGCACCCCAATGGTGGAACAAGCTCCCTCACGACGCCAGGACAGCGGAGTCACTCACCACCTTCCGGAGACATTTGAAACCCCACCTCTTTAAGGAACACCTGGGATAGGATAAAGTAATCCACACAGTGCCACCCACAAAACAGAAGCAGGTCAACCACCAAAAGCATTTCCAATGCTCTCACCTCAATTTGCTTTATATATATATACGTATACACTACCGTTCAAAAGTTTGGGGTCACTTAAAAATGTCCTTGTTTTCTAAAGAAAAAAAAACAAATTTGTCCATTAAAATAACATCAAATTGATCAGAAATACAGTGTAGACATTGTTAATGTTGTAAATGGCTATTGTAGCTGGAAACGGCAGATTTTTTATGGAATATCTACATAGGCGTACAGAGGCCCATTATTAGCAACCATCGTCCTGTGTTCCAATGGCACGTTGTGTTTGCTAATCCAAGTTTATCATTTTAAAAGGCTAATTGATCATTAGAAAACCCTTTTGCAATTATGTTAGCACAGCTGAAAACTGTTGTGCTGATTAAAGAAGCAATAAAACTGGCCTTCTTGAGACTAGTTGAGTATCTGGAACATCAAATCAAATTAAATTTTATTGGCCACATGCGCCGAATACAACAGGTGCAGACATTACAGTGAAATGCTTACTTACAGCCCTTAACCAACAGTGCATTTATTTTTAACAAAAAAGTAAAAATAAAACAACAACAAAAAAAGTGTTGAGAAAAAGAGAGCAGAAGTAAAATACAATAACAGTAGGGAGGCTATATATACAGGGGGGTACCGGTGCAGAGTCATTGTGCGGGGGCACCGGCTAGTTGAGGTAGTTGAAGTAATATGTACATGTGGGCAGAGTTAAAGTGACTATGCATAAATAATTAACAGAGTAGCAGCAGCGTAAAAGGATGGGGTGGGGGGGGCAGTGCAAATAGTCCGGGTAGCCATGATTAGCTGTTCAGGAGTCATGGCTTGGGGGTAGAAGCTGTTGAGAAGTCTTTTGGACCTAGACTTGGCACTCCGGTACCGCTTGCCGTGCGGTAGCAGAGAGAACAGTCTATGACTAGGGTGGCTGGAGTCTTTGACAATTTTGAGGGCTTTCCTCTGACACCGCCTGGTATAGAGGTCCTGGATGGCAGGAAGCTTGGCCCCAGTGATGTACTGGGCCGTACGCACTACCCTCTGTAGTGCCTTGCGGTCGGAGGCCAAGCAGTTGCCATACCAGGCGGTGATGCAACCAGTCAGGATGCTCTCGATGGTGCAGCTGTATAATTTTTTGAGGATCTGAGGACACATGCCAAATCTTTTCAGTCTCCTGAGGGGGAATAGGCTTTGTCGTGCCCTCTTCACGACTGTCTTGGTGTGTTTGGACCATGATAGTTCGTTGGTGATGTGGACACCAAGGAACTTGAAGCTCTCAACCTGTTCCACTACAGCCCCGTCGATGAGAATGGGGGCGTGCTCAGTCCTATTTTTTTTCCTGTTGTCCACAATCATCTCCTTTGTCTTGGTCACGTTGAGGGAGAGGTTGTTGTCCTGGCACCACACGGCCAGGTCTCTGACCTCCTACCTATAGGCTGTCTCATCGTTGTCGGTGATCAGGCCTACCACTGTTGTGTCGTCGGCAAACCTAATGATGGTGTTGGAGTCGTGCCTGGCCATGCAGTCATGGGTGAACAGGGAGTACAGGAGGGGACTGAGCACGCACCCCTGAGGGGCCCCCGTGTTGAGGATCAGTGTGGCAGATGTGTTGTTACCTACCCTTACCACTTGGGGGCGGCCCGTCAGGAAGTCCAGGATCCAGTTGCAGAGGGAGGTGTTTAGTCCCAGGATCCTTAGCTTAGTGATGAGCTTTGAGGGCACTATGGTGTTGAATGCTGAGCTGTATTCAATGAATAGCATTCTCACGTAGGTGTTCCTCTTGTCCAGGTGGGAAAGGGCAGTGTGGAGTGCAATAGAGATTGCATAATCTGTGGATCTGTTGGGGTGGTATGCAAATTGGAGTGGGTCTAGGGTTTCTGGGATAATGCTGTTGATGTGAGCCATGACCAGCCTTTCAAAGCACTTCATGGCTACAGACGTCAGTGCTACGGGTCGGTAGTCATTTAGGCAGGTTATCTTAGAGTCCTTGGGCACGGGGACTATGGTGGTCTGCTTGAAACATGTTGGTATTACAGACTCAGTCAGGGACATGTTGAAAATGTCAGTGAAGACACTTGCCAGTTGGTCAGCACATGCTCGGAGTACACGTCCTGGTAATCCGTCTGGCCCTGCGGCCTTGTGAATGTTGACCTGCTTAAAAGTCTTACTCACATCGGCTACGGAGAGCGTGATCACATAGTCATCCGGAACAGCTGGTGCTCTCATGCATGCTTCAGTGTTGCTTAACTCGAAGCGAGTATAGAAGTGGTTTAGCTCGTCTGTAAGTCTTGTGTCACTGGGCAGCTTGCGGCTGTGCTTCCCTTTGTAGTCTGTAATAGTTTTCAAGCCCTGCCACATCCGACGAGCGTCAGAGCCAGTGTAGTACGATTCAATCTTAGTCCTGTATTGACTCTTTGCCTGTTTGATGGTTCGTCGGAGGGCATAGCGGGATTTCTTATAAGCGTCCGGGTTAGAGTCCCGCTCCTTGAAAGTGGCAGCTCTACCCTTTAGCTCAGTGCGGATGTTTCCTGTAATCCATGGCTTCTGGTTGGGGTATGTACGTACGGTCACTGTGGGGACGACATCATCGATGCACTTATTGATGAAGCCAGTGACTGATGTGGTGTACTCCTCAATGCTATCTGAAGAATCCCGGAACATGTTCCAGTCTGTGCTAGCAAAACAGTCCTGTAGTTTAGCATCTGTGTCATCTGACCACTTTTTTATTAACCGAGTCACTGGTGCTTCCTGCTTTAGTTTTTGCTTATAAGCAGGAATCAGGAGGATAGAGTTATGGTCAGATTTGCCAAATGGAGGGCGAGGGAGAGCTTTGTATGCGTCTCTGTGTGTGGAGTAAAGGTGGTCTAGAGTTTGTTTTCCTCTGGTTGCACATTTAACATGCTGGTAGAAATTAGGTAGAACGGATTTAAGTTTCCCTGCATTAAAGTCCCCGGCCACTAGGAGCGCTGCATCTGGATGAGCGTTTTCCTGTTGATTTATGGCCTTATACAGCTCATTCAGTGCAATCTTAATGCCAGCATTGGTTTGTGGTGGTAAATAGACAGCTATGAAAAATATAGATGAAAACTCTCTTGGTAAATAGTGTGGTCTACATTTTATCATAAGATACTCTACCTCAGGCGAGCAAAACCTCAAGACTTCCTTAGTATTTGATTTTGTGCACCAGCTGTTGTTTACAAATATACACAGACCGCCACCCCTTGTCTTACCGGAGTCAGCGGTTCTATCCTGCCGATGTAGCGTATAGCCCGCTAGCTGTATGTTATCCATGTCGTCGTTCAGCCACGACTCGGTGAAACATAATATATTACCGTTTTTAATGTCCCGTTGGTAGGATAACCATAATCTTAGGTCATCCAATTTGTTCTCCAATGATTGAAGATTGGCTAATAGGATTGATGGAAGAGGCAGTTTACTCGCTCGCCGTCGGATCCTTACAAGGCACCCCGACCTACATCCACGATATCTCCGTCTCTTCCTCATGCGAATGACTGGGATTTGGGCCTTGTCGGGTGTCTGTAGGATATCCTTCGCGGCCGCCTCATTGAAGAAAAATCTTCGTCCAATACGAGGTGAGTAATCGCTGTCCTGATATCCAGAAGCTCTTTTTGGTTATAAGAGACGATGGCAGAAACATTATGTACAAAATAAATTACAAATAATGCGTAAAAACACACATAATGGTACAATTGGTTAGAGGGCTGTAAAACGGCAGCCATCTTCTCCGGCGCTGTTTCCAGCAATTGTGGGTTCGATTACAGGCTCAAAATGGCCAGAAACAAATAACTTTTTTCTGAAACTCGTCAGTCTATTCTTGTTCTGAGAAATGAAGGCTATTCCATGCGAGAAATTGCCAAGAAACTGAAGATCTTGTACAATGCTGTGTACTACTCCCTTCACAGAACAGCGCAAACTGGCTCTAACCAGAATAGAAAGAGGAGTGGAAGGCCCCGGTGCACAACTGAGCAAGAGGACAAATACATTAGAGTGTCTAGTTTGAGAAACAGGCGCCTCACAGGTCCTCAACTGGCAGCTTCATTAAATAGTACCCGCAAAACAACAGTCTCAACATCAGCAGTGAAGAGGCGACTGCGGGATGCTGACCTTCTAGGCAGAGTTGCAAAGAAAAAGCCATATCTCAGACTATCATCAGCAACAGAGCATTGACACCATTCAGTATGAGATGGCATATAGATATATATAGATATGAGATGGCCTTAGTTATCTTAGAATAGAATAGACCAGCGGCACCGTGCCCTTACCAGTGGTAAATACTTTGAAATATATTTAAATGTCTTCTTTGAGGACTGACAGTGAAGCAACCAACATAATTTTCACCCCAATAACCCCCCAAATAAAGAATGTGTTGTTTATATCTCCTCAGCTAATTGTTGCTATAGCATTCTCAACTTGGGAGCATTCAAATAAACTCTGTCCCAAATGGAATCTCAAGTAGCCTACCCCATGGTGCAAAATGAAACACCCAGTGTTACACATCAGAAACATATGTTAAATTCTCATGCATTGGCTCACGACATTGTGAGTGTGTATAAAGAAAAGGCGACTGAGGCCTAATTTCAGAATGAGCTGGAGTTGGTGTTGCTGCTCTGTCTGTCTGGGGATTGGGCTCAGGGAGAGCATGGAGGGGTCAGAGAGAGTTTGATCGTGATCCAAGAGACTGAAGCTGCAGAGACGACCCACAAACAGATGTGTGGCCAGATCCCCCCTACCCCTGAGATCTGAAGGAGATGAGAGACATGGTAGTGAAACAGAAGATGGAGCTGAGTTTCACCAAGACTAAGCTGAGGGACATGGAGGCCAGACTGAAGGACAGTGAGGACCAGGCAGAGGACCAACGATTTGAGCTTCGATTCACCAAGAAGGAAGTGAAGGAGCTGAAGACAGAGAACGCAGCTGAACTGTCAGCCAATGGAGGCCAGAGTGACAGCCAGTGAGAGGGAGGTAGAGGAGCTGAAGAGGGAGAACAGACAGACCAAAGGTGGCCTTCTCTGTTGGTTTGATTGATTCAGGAATTGTAGGACCATTCATTACTGAAACCCAACTGATCTACTACAACAGAGTCATCACCAACATTGGCACAGCTTACAACCAAATTACAGGTCTCTTAGAAGCACCAGTGTGAGGAGTCTACTACTTCAGATTCACTACCTGGGAATACCGCAATTTGCAAAGCGTAGGAGTAAGCCTGTACCACAATTATTTTAAAAGCATGGGAACGGGTTAATAACGTTATTTTATGTTATGGCAAAAACGCAACAAAGTGCCTATGCAAAGCCCTCACTTTGTCACTCAGATACTTATTCCAATATCTGCCTGCTTGCCAGCAGAAAACCTTTGCCAGTATGTGTGTGTAAGCTACCTGCCCTCCCCCTCCCTCCGGAGCATAGTCTACTGTAGCTACTGACAAGCATGATTCAAAAATTAGGGAGAGAGAATTTTAATAAGAGAAGAATGGATTAACTTTTTCAATGCTAGTTAAGGAGACTATAGTTATCACATTTCACGTTGGATTTATTAACAACAAAAAGGTAAGACGTGTTTTTATTTTTGTGCCGCTCTGCACACACAAGGTTGTTAGCTAGCTAGCTAGCTAGCTCTGGTCTAGCTCTTGAAAACTCTGGTCGGAACGGTGGAACGGAACCAAAAAAGTAATGGTTCTGTTCAGACTGAAACGATTGGAAATAATTTTGCTTCCAACCCCTGCTTATAACTACAATACTTTTAGTGGCTTCCCGCTCTTCCCTATGTTTCAATTAAATTACATTGAACCAACGTAGAATAGATGTTGAATTGATGTCTGTGCCCAGTGGGTCAGCTTTCTGATGGGAGCAGTTCTGGGGTTTAAGCCCCAATGTTTCTCTCTAACCAATAAATAAGCATTTATAAAATAAATAAAACATGTTGCCGCCAGTTTGTGTCTTAAGGTATTATTAAAGATGATACTAATGATAGCATTAGCTTCGCTGGAACGTAGCCCAATGTAACCAATATTTTTCATTTGTAATCCTGATACTGTGGTGCTAACTCACTCTCCAGCTCCCAGCTGGCCCTGACAGTCCAGCACTATGCAGAGGGGCTGGATCAGAGCATGTCAGCAGCCTCTGGGTTCACCGCTCCAGCCAGGACTGGGTTGGACAGCATGGTTTGGAGGGGACATAGGAGAGGAGACCAACATCATTTACATTACATTTTAGTCATTTAGCAGACGCTCTTATCCAGAGCGACTTACAGTTAGTGAGTGCATACATTATTTTAAATAATTGGCCCCACGTGGGAATCGAACCCACAACCCTGGCGTTGCAAACGCCATGCTCTACCAACTGAGCTACATCCCTGCCGGCCATTCCCTCCCCTACCCTGGACCAATTGTGCGCCGCCCCATGGGTCTCCCGGTCGCGGCCGGCTACGACAGAGCCTGGATTCGAACCAGGATCTCTAGTGGCACAGCTAGCACTGCGATGCAGTGCCTTAGACCACTGCGCCACATCAGAGTGGATACTATAGTTCTATGAACACTGTAAATAGAAGTGCTTTTTATATACTTACTGCTGTTAGTAAAAACTTCTACATGTTATTAGGGACAGACAAATCTGCGGAGGCTGACTTTTCTCAAGGCACCAGAAGTGATTTGCAAGAGAAACACTAGTGGAATTGCACTAGCAAAATGTAACTAACTGCAGTTTTATTGATTAAATATGCAGACAAAAACACTGTAAGGAAATGAATATTATCCTGCAAATTTCCAACCCTAGCTATCTGGTGACTTTATTGTATTTAAAAATGTGCAGTACTGTATTACCTGGATGCTGAGTAGAATGCTGCTAATTGCGATGCCGGGGTTCCACTCGCTGTCCAGGCAGGGGATACATGGCCTACCTGTGTCCTTGTCCATTTCAACCAAAACAAACAGGGAAACCATTTCCTTTTTATGACACTATTATGGCAATAAATATTGCTGGCAACTCACCATTGGTGTGGAATGGGATGGTGTTGAACTTAACAGTTGGGGGGACAGAATTGTAAGCCTCACTAAATTACAACACCTTATAGAACAGAAAGATTCTAAAACTAAATTTATTTTGGTAGTTCAGACAACAAGTCCTAAATGTAGACACCATATAATCATCATCATCAGTAGCTGATCATCATCATCATCATCATCATCATCAACAATATACTTTTTGGGGATGCTCTGAACACTCCATGGCCATATCACACCTTCCCACAAGGTGTCCTTCAGTCCCTCCACTTTAGCCTCCCATTCACGCAGGTTGTCACTCACTGGCTTGGCCTCTTGTTTCTGTGAAAACATTTTTACAAGCACACACAGGTAGGATGACCTAATATCTGAAGATATGATGGATACATAAAACATGGCTGTAAACAAATTTAGAAAAACTCACTATTAGATCTGCTGTCTGCAGTTTGAGGTATTGTTTTCGCAGCAACAGTTGCTACACAACTTGTATGTGGCAATATTTCATACAAAAAATGCATGCTTTCCATTAAATATTGCATTGGAGCTAAACACACACTTGAACACATTCTTTATAAGGGAACAAGGGAGCAAGGTGATGTAATGTTTCGAAGCTGTTGTCAAGCAACATGATGTCGGCCAATTTGGCGGGAAGAACTGCTTTGGATGGAGCCAGACAGCCAACAAATAAGCCTAGGCTACATCAGTGGCGGCTCCTGAAAAAATTCTCAGGAGGGGCAATTTTTCTGATGATTTAGGTGACCTACACACATTTAAAAAAATATATGTCCAGCAACAACATGAAGACAGGGGCAGCATATAAGTCAATACCAGAAGCATTTATTGACTGATCTCAAAAGTGTTGGCTTACCAGGGTTGGTGGAGCCCTCAGTTTCATCTTTGCCTCGCAAAGCTAACTCAAACACTCCGCAAAACTTCACACACTGGATTAGCCGGCTGAGGATGTGGCGGTTCTTGCTAATGTCGTAGTAAATATATTTGTTATAGTGAATATGGAATATGATATGTTGAGTAAAATGTTGTGCTAAGATCTATTTAGGTCAGGAGCTGGTTATAAGTTCTGTTCCTATCCAATAACAATGGACAAAAGGGTCCTATCTTGTCAGCCTTGTCAGCAGGTGGCCAAGGACAACACCCACGCCATAGGCCTCTCAGTTCTTCCAACTCACGAGTTCTTGCTCTGAGGACACACACACACACAAACACACACACACACACACATCATCACTGTTAAACACACACACACACATCATCACTGTTAAACACACACACACACACACACACACAAAAATCCCCTCTCTTAGGCTGAACATTTGAAGACAGAGAACCCGACTCAGAGCCAATGCAACAGTGACAGTAGCCTGCAGGGGACCTCGCCCAACTCATCAGGACCAATCAGAAGATCAGAACTACTAGATTGAACCTACTTCATTTATTGCATAAAATGTCTGCACACAATGTTTCGGGGCTCTCTTCAGATAATAATAATAATAATAATAATAATAATAATAATAATAATAATAATAATAATAATAATATGCCATTTAGCAGACGCTTTTATCCAAAGCGACTTACAGTCATGCGTGCATACATTTTTGTGTATGGGTGGTCCCGGGGATCGAACCCACTACCTTGGCGTTACAAGCACCATGCTCTACCAGCTGAGCTACAGAAAGTGGATACTCATGGATGCGCATTGCAATTGTAAAATGTCAACACAATTGGAGACACCACGTCATTTTTGGAGACATGTTATTGACAGTAAACTATTGTAGATGCGACTGCTAACTAACTAAAACATTTTAGCTGGCTAGCTAATCATCTTAGTTAAATGTGGGGCAAACAATTCAGTTATTTACCGTTAATTTGAGGGATTGGGGTGAAAGAAATCGAGTTACATAGTGATACTTTACGATATACTGTATTGACAATATCGCAATATTTTAGCGCTAGTTGGCTGTACCTGCACCAAAACACCATTATTGTTCCTTCATAGCTTGTTCTCAATCTTTTCACATTGGGAGCCAATTTGTTTTCAGCACTTTTATTTCCATGACTGATCAAAACTCGTTCTCATGGCTTTCTGATCCCTCTGCAACAGACATATGGTGCGCAATAAAATCACAGTATCGAATCGCAATACGTATAGAATCATGAGACTCGCAATGCTGATGCATATATCTTATCGTGAGGTTCCTGGCAATTCCCAGCCCAAGTTCATTTTTAAGAGTTTGACGAACGGGTCCGTGAACGCGATTCCAGATATATTTACCTCTGAATAAACTGCCTTTATTACACCATATCCACATCCAGTAAACTTGTGATTATCAACACTAACCTCATCGTTGTGGCGGCGGACAGCTAGCCTGTATCCCTCGTCATCCAGTTGAGTGAGTGGCAATGTCTTTTTTCGTTCGTACCAATTTTTGGAAAATCCTCGGGTGTAGGACTTTCCGCCTTTAGTAGAAACCTGTTGAATTATTAAATTTGGTCTGGGAGGTCCTAATTGTTTCGTTGCCAATTTATCTTCATTTGTTCGCCGACAAAAAGGAAATTCTTTCAAAGACACAACCGAGTTGCACTGAAGCCTAGCCATGTTGATAGTAGTAGTGAATTGATTGACGCTGCTACCCTCTCTTTTCTTAGTTACGTTCATGTGACGAAAGCGCGTAAGTGCAAGCCCACAGACACCCATTGAGATTGTATTGAAGGCTCTGAAATTTGAAAAAAATAGATTTTACATGGGAGTCTATGACAGAAGTTCTGGGCGATTTTCAATCTGACTGAAATCGCCCCAAAAGGGGGTGGAGCCATTTGAAGCACGACTTTAGCCTGATTCGACATTTAGTGGCAGTGTGGCACTGTGGCAGATCAGACGTATAGATTACAACACTGATAACTACTGTTGCCGTGATATAATTGATTAGAAAAAAAATCCCTTCCTTTTCCCGTTTGGCAGTGCGTCGCCCATATCGCCCTATTGAACAGGCCGTCCCTGGGCTACATACTTCCCAACTTCACTTGCTGTAGTGTACCTAAAACGACCTATTTATTGTACAGTAGTTATAGATAGTATTACAGAAAATGCTTAATCTTAAATCACACTTTGAAGACAGAACAGGCATATCAATATTTTTGTATTTAAATAATTTTGCAGTATACACTTAGTATGTAGCTACATGCGCATTATGATATTCTTAGAAACACCACAGTTTGGTCAGTGAGATCTAATCTCTGAATCATATTTTGCCTGGTGTAAGACTTACCTGTGGGTCTTGGAAGATCTTGTCAGGGTCTTTCTCATAGCTGTCAATATAGACCTGAACTGTTGCGTCCATACTCCCTGTTCCACTGAGCCTGTAGATGATCCGGGAGCCATCTGTGAATATTATCCTCAGAGAGCGAGGAGATGAAGATTAAGGACTCCTACAGTAGCTAAGGAAGTTGCTATTATTCATATATCCTATTAGTCCAAAGTGACATGCAGGACCAATTCTGCGTCCACGCCGAAATAGCCGCCTCCATTCTTCACTTGGTTTCTGCAGATGCACCCGTCTATGGGATCAGTGTATTCAAAGTTGTCTGCCTTCTCCACCTGGTAGAGCTTCTCCCCCACAGCGAACCTCTGGCCCATAAAGGCCTTCTCCAGCATCATCAGCTCCAGATCCTCCATCATCTGAACGGCTGCTTCCAGGTCGACTTCCTCATAGTCATACCTGCCCAAGGCAGCACAGCAGAAGATTAAATGAGAAGCTTTGGCTACATTGCTCATGTGTTTCATCTTTCTGAGGCCAACCCCTCTGTCATTGTGTAAAAGAGAATCACACTGCCACTTTCTGACACTTTCTTTCATATCATAATGTCTCTTTTTCAGCTTGATTTGATTTTCAGCATGTTATACAACTCAAGGTTTCACTCAGATTTGAGCACTTGCCTGCCTCACTACATCTCCCTGAGAAAGTCAGTGAAAATGGCCACACTACGAAATACAGAGAAATGGGGGATATAGTCATTTTGTTGTTTTGGTTATCATATATGATTACAGTTTATGATCATTCTGCACACATCATTCAATATTCAAGTTCATTATCATTCGTTCATTGAGACAGGATGAAATGCAGTAATGGTCAATGGCTCATTTTCTCATTGGATAATGCCAGGCCGAGACCTTACTTGTCCAGGGCAGTGCTGGTGGGCATGCTGCGGGCGTAGCCTCTCACCCCTGTGTGCTGGAAATAAGGGATGCTGAAGACATTGGCAGCGATGACAGCCACCGAGTCCGAGGGGTTGACGAAAAAGCCATGCTTACCAAGGATCATGTTACGGTCCTAGGAAACCAGGCAGGGGTTAGAGGTCAGGCGACAAGAGAGAGGGTTTAGCAGCAGGGTGATTTATCTAAATACAATTCAAAGCATCCAACCCATAACCCTAAAGTTGTGATAGTAGTCTTCAGTCTGTCTGGGATGCTTGACTATTTATTATTTCCTTAATTGTCTTGGATGAGGTTTCTCAGTAGATTTGCAGTTGTGTCAGCATTGCCTGTTAAATTACTGATATTTCTTTTGGGGGGGGGGGGGGGGGGGGTTCTAGTTAAAAAATATATATAAATGAGAAATTCACAAATGTAAGATGATTACTTCAAATGATTATCATTATTATGAAGACAGTAAAATTATTGGTTGATTTAGCACGCACACGGTCACCATCAAAGGCAGCTCCAAAATCGTACTGGCCACCCCTCATGGTCTCAACCAGGTCCGCTGCATAGGTGAGGTTGGGGTCAGGGTGCTGCCCCCCAAAGTCTTGCAGGAGGACACAGTTAATGGCGGAGTCTGCAGGGGAGCCCAGCTCCTCACACAGTATCCCCTTAACATAGGGACCCATCACTGAGAAGGTACAGAGAGAGAGGAGGGAGGGAGGGATGGAAAGAGGGATAGAGTCAAGTTTAATAATGAACAGTTTGATGTGCCATGGGGTCCAAGAGACAGGATTAGAGAAATAGAGAATTTGAATTAGACAAGTGCCTGATTTATAGTGTGGCTGTTGAAAGAGACTAGAATTAGGGAAATCTCAATCTTTGACAGAGTAGAGAAACAGGGTCAAGGTATGGGATTCTGTTAGTGGGTTATGGCGATTATGGCGAAGACATGGCAAAGAATTTGAGAGTTAAATAGTGATAGATTGACACTGTAATGCAGACATTTGGGAAACCATAATGATAGAAATTATTGAGAATTGGAAGGAAATATTTATTGAAAGAGTATCCTTTTTCTTAATGGATTATTTAACGATTTTGACCCTGACCCCAGTCCCGTGAAAACATTTGCCAAGTGCACCTGTTAGCCCACATTTTAGATACCAGAGTATCCAATTACTCGTCATCATTATAACTTTGATCCTTCATTTTCAGAAGCTTTGAAGTCAGTTCAACATGGCCACATCCTTGGGTTGACTGACTGATTGCTCAAAGGCATGAACTTCTTATTGGAGAGAGGGAGTAGGCATGAACGTGGAACCTTGTTAAAATTCCATTAATGTCAAGATCTTCTGCAATTTGGCAGTCTAAGGACACCGGCTTTCCTGTGCGAAGGGGGGTCCCGCCTTTGGTTTCAGTGTTATCACAGGGGAGCTCCTGGAAAAGGTTAGGAACAGCTTGAGTTTAGAAACCTCATCCCCTCTGTAGCAGACAGTTTCTGTAACCCCTCTCTCCTGAAAGACTGGATCATGTAACAGATAATGAGATACAACAGCTGAATTCTCGACTGGGCTTCTGCTCTCACAAATCGTGCTCTGCTCATCTTTACTGTGGCACTGTGTGAGATTATATGAAACCTAAGCTATATATCAACATCTGCACTCGTGAAAACAGCATAACTATAGTATAGGTTTTGCTGTAATGTACATCTGAATAGAGCAGCCTTCTTCTTACCTCCTAATCTTGCAGAACCTGGCGAGTGTGTCTCTGAATACTGCATATACTCCAACTACACGTTGCGTCGTAGCTGTGAAGTCTGGCACGTTAGATTACCAACCTCCATGCATGGCATCTAGCCGGATCTTGATGTGGTTCTCCCCAGACAGCAGCTCCTTCAGTGCAGCAAAGTCAAAGATGTTCCTCAGCATGTTGGCAGAAGACTCTACTGACTCTACCGAGTCCACTATCTCCATTGTGGCGAGACAAAGAATCCCTTCAGTTGTACATCTCAGTAAACAAAGTAGGGAAACAGTTCAAAGAATAAAAATAGGAGCAGTGTTCAGTGGTCAGATTAAGTCAAACCAGAACCTGTGCTGTTAAAAAGTCACATTGATCTTGCACTGCAAACTTGGACTGTCATGTTTTTTATAGTGCAGGTTTTATTGAATTATGTGAGTTTTCTCTATTGCCTTCTCTAAAAGAGCCAACAAGGAACCAAACATTCAGTACTAGTTTACTTCTCCAGTTCTCCTGTCAGGTTATGAGCGATGTGTTTGTGCTCACCTGTGAAGGGTTTGAACTAGTTCTCCAGGTCAAATATCTGTTTGCTCAGGGTAGCCAAGTCTACCCGGAGTTCTGGGCAGATGGCATACTCCTCTATGGTTCTGCTGATCTGGAAGATTTTGTTGTTGATCGCCTCCTGGGCTGGGCCTGGATTGGGTCAAACAGAAGCAAGACTTAATAGTGTAGTATCCACTGAATACACATGTCTTGTGTTACACAAGGGCACTCATTTGTGTTGATCTTAATTGTGCTGCTCTAGTCTTTTCAATTGTTAATATAGACTGAAATTGTATAAAATGTGTCAAAAATCTGCATCACTGAGCATGATACTTGTGAAATGTCTCTACCTCATCTTATAACACTCTTGGCTAACACCCTTTCCTCCTGTTCCCTGTTCTCCAGTTACAGTACCTTAGCAGTGTTGAACCTGATGCCAAAGTCTCCTTCGGGTCCCCCAGGGTTGTGACTGGCTGTGAGGACGATACCGCCGATGGCCTTGTACTTTCTGGAAACCGCTGGCGTGGACATGATCCCATGATGACCAATCACGAGCCGGCCAACCTGCCAAGATGACACAGGTCAGGTGTGTGTTTTGGCAGGGGTGTTGTAAAGTTGACTTTCAGGTTAGCGTGTCTGTTGTGGTTACACACTTTAGCAGTTCTTTTTAAACAAGCCACTATGGCTTGGAGTTGAACACGTTTTATGACTGAAAGCCTCACGTGGATGGTATACAGTGGGGAAAAAAAGTATTTAGTCAGCCACCAATTGTGCAAGTTCTCCCACTTAAAAAGATGAGAGAGGCCTGTAATTTTCATCATAGGTACACGGCAACTATGACAGACAAAATGAGAAAAAAAAATCCAGAAAATCACATTGTAGAATTTTAAATTAATTTATTTTCAAATTATGGTGGAAAATAAGTACTTGGTCAATAACAAAAGTTTCTCAATACTTTGTTATATACCCTTTGTTGGCAATGACACAGGTCAAACGTTTTCTGTAAGTCTTCACAAGGTTTTCACACACTGTTGCTGGTATTTTGGCCCATTCCTCCATGCAGATCTCCTCTAGAGCAGTGATGTTTTAGGGCTGTCGCTGGGCAACACAGACTTTCAACTCCCTCCAAAGATTTTCTATGGCGTTGAGATCTGGAGACTGGCTAGGCCACTCCAGGACCTTGAAATGCTTCTTACGAAGCCACTCCTTCGTTGCCCGGGCGGTGTGTTTGGGATCATTGTCATGCTGAAAGACCCAGCCACGTTTCATCTTCAATGCCCTTGCTGATGGAAGGAGGTTTTCACTCAAAATCTCACGATACATGGCCCCATTAATTCTTTCCTTTAGACGGATCAGTCATCCTGGTCCCTTTGCAGAAAAACAGCCCCAAAGCATGATGTTTCCACCCCCATGTTTCACAGTAGGTATGGTGTTCTTTGGATGCAACTCAGCATTCTTTGTCCTCCAAACACGACGAGTTGAGTTTTTACCAAAAAGTTATATTTTGGTTTCATCTGACCATATGACATTCTCCCAATCCTCTTCTGGATCATCCAAATGCACTCTAGCAAACTTCAGACGGGCCTGGACATGTACTGACTTAAGCAGGGGGACACGTCTGGCACTGCAGGATTTGAGTCCCTGGCGGCGTGGTGTGTTACTGATGGTAGGCTTTGTTACTTTGGTCCCAGCTCTCTGCAGGTCATTCACTAGGTCCCCCCGTGTGGTTCTGGGATTTTTGCTCACCGTTCTTGTGATCATTTTAACCCCACGGGGTGAGATCTTGCGTGGAGCCCCAGATCGAGGGAGATTATCAGTGGTCTTGTATGTCTTCCATTTCCTAATAATTGCTCCCACAGTTGATTTCTTCAAACCAAGCTGCTTACCTATTGCAGATTCAGTCTTCCCAGCCTGGTGCAGGTCTACAATTTTGTTTCTGGTGTTCTTTGACAGCTATTTGGTCTTGGCCATAGTGGAGTTTGGAGTGTGACTGTTTGAGGTTGTGGACAGGTGTCTTTTATACTGATAACAAGTTCAAACAGGTGCCATTAATACAGGTAACGAGTGGAGGACAGAGGAGCCTCTTAAAGAAGAAGTTACAGGTCTGTGAGAGCCAGAAATCTTGTTTGTTTGTAGGTGACCAAATACTTATTTTCCACCATAATTTGCAAATAAATTCATTAAAAATCCTACAATGTGATTTTCTGGAGAAAAAAAATCTCAATTTGTCTGTCATAGTTGATGTGTACCTATGATGAAAATTACAGGCCTCTCTCATCTTTTTAAGTGGGAGAACTTTCACAATTGGTGGCTGACTAAATTACTTTTTTTCCCCACTGTAGATTTCATTTTATTCCATATTTACTTCTGGATTTTAACATGAGAAGTCCATAAGCTATGGTTGCTGGTGGTTATACTTAGGGTGGCCATAGAAATGCGGTAGAAACACATTAGGTGCAGGTGTCATCATGTGTAACTTCATTTTAATCCCCCTAAACATCCCCCCATCTGCAAAAGCATCCAAGGTTCTCTAATTTATGACCCAGCACCTCGGGGGCCACATTAGTGCTGGCACTGGGACAATATTTGAAGACAGTGAGTCCTCAGTTAAGAAAGTTTGCTTTCCAGACCAACTTAGAATAAGTATTCAACAATTGTAATAAACGTGGCATATATAGACAGTCTTTCTTAAAACGGTATGTGATTCAAAGATATAAAACAACCAGCTGTTAATTCGTTCACTTCCTCCTGGCATATTTTCAGACTCCTTTAATCCATTGCTAATGTTTGCATGCCCTGGATAGGCCACGTGTATAAAATAGGTAACACCACCAACCAGTGATTTGGAAAAGGTGACACTGATACACAGTCGCCCACATAATGACAGGTTACAGTGACAGATAACACTGACCCCGTTCGCAGCTGCCATCTGAACAATGACCTTGATGGCAGGTTTGATTGAAGTAGCGTCCATCTCCCCCAACTACCATTGTGGACCCCTGGCGGTCTAGCAGATCGATGGAGGAATATATATTCTGGACGAAGTTCTGAAGGTAGTTCCTTTTGGACAGGAAGACGAACACCTTCTTTCTCAGACCACCACTACCAGGTCTGGGTGAGGGGCTGTGGGTAGAGTCAGAACTTGCAGTACATTTACATTTACATTTTAGTCATTTAGCAGATGCTCTTATCCAGTAGACTATCATCCATTGTTTCAATGTGCTACAAAAACAAAACATAAAACAAGAGGGGTAACCTGTTGTGTAGATGTGATCCCCTGACAGTTAAAATGGTGTACAGGGGTAACGGGAGGGAAGAATCTTAGCCACTCCCAGTATTTCACAGGCGGGTAGAGGGTAGTTATGGGTCCAAAAATAACCAGGCGGTCTAATGTGTGTGCAGAGGCCGATGGTAACTAAAGACGCTCCTTAGTTTGCACATGTGCTGGGGGATCACTGGCAGGGCTGCAGCAGACCCTGTGTGGTCCTTCCAGGCAGTAGGTGGGAGTGCCATGTAGTTTAGGCTCTGCAGCTATGCTGACAATGATGGTTGAGAGGAGGATGTTGTCTCCAGTAAGAGATGCCCTAAGCACTGATTCAGGGTCAGTTTTGATTTTCATTTACTTGTTGATGCTTGAGATGTGGTGGTAATACTATCCCAGACCAGTGTGAAGGGTCAACTTCTTCTCTGAGAGTAGAATGCAATCCTGCCTCATACTAATGTAGGATATTGTTTTGCTAGTGCAGCATCCCCAACATTATGGGGTTGTGACCTACCTAAAGTCTTTCAACTTTTCTTGTGACCCTCCAGTTAGACAAAACAATATTTCCAGTTGAAAGCTGACCAGGTGCACTATTTTGGGAAAAACTACTAGTGCTGTAGTCCTCTGCTGTCACATTGTGTCCACTCATTAGCTTGGTAAGAAAATATCAATTGTAGGCCTGATTTCATTAGAGGCCGGTGAGATATCGGATATTTTTCAGGTCAAGGCTGAACAGTGTCTACAGGGGAAGATCAAAGGTACCTGTCAGACACTCACTATGTTGTCATACACTCACTGAAGGCCATCCCTCTGTTTACATAAAGGGGCCAACTTGTTCTAGCCTGGGCACCAGTCTGTTTAGCTAACATTCCACTCCTGGTACTCTGTGCCATAGCGAAACATGACACGAAGTACAAGGAGAGGAATGTTAGCTAAATAGACTGGTACCTAGGCTAAACTTATTCTGCCAATCATGATACTCCCATCCCTCCCATAGCCTCTGATAAGTCCATTTTAATTGAATAATAATAATACACTGTGGAAAGCTTGAATAGAGAGGGGTTTTAGGGTACTGTATATTTACAGGTATAGCTACTAACGGCTATAGAAGGGCATATAGACATTTCAATCTTTCAACTGGATAACCATGTTTTTGCTAAGTAGCTAATTAGAAATCAAATTATTTTGTTGCAGTCGAAATATTGTTGTAGTCTTTTGAGGGTAATTATCCAGAACCACACCAGTAGTGTCATAAATATGATTTATTTTCCAGAACTGTAAAAATGTGATAAGTAACAAAAATACAGTATTTACAGTACAGATGTGCTGAGAGTCAATGTGACTAAGATCCTGGTGATGCCTGTGTGCTGTCCATCCAATTCCTCACCACTTCATACCTGGTTGTATTCAGACTTAAGATCTGCACGTTTAACACACATTTTCGTGCAAGTCTCCCATTGACGTGAAAGAATGATGTACGTTTAGCATATTTGCGAGGTTTGTGTGCAGATCTCATGTATGAATACCGCCCACCATTAATTCATAGTTTACCGTGTGAAATACAGTTGCTTAAACAAGAACTCTATAGGATTCCTCCAATGCATGTAACAATAGGAGGATGTTATCGATCAATTACGCTAAACTGAGTGTAACATTTTTTGACAATTCATTTGGTTCCTTGTGTCCCAAAGCCTTTAATGCTGAAGAGGAGAAGCAATACTTTTTAGACTAGTTATAAGACAAACAGTGACTTAGAGATATAGATTCAGAGTCCTATTTAATGAACTTGGTCCCACTGTGCAGTCGACAGAAGAAACCTGACTAAACTGGCCTCCCAAATCTCCTAAATCTCCTTAAGGCCTTGTTGTCAGGGACTGTCAGTCACATGTATCTTTGCCAAAGGTTGGTCAAGGTCTTGTTTCTGTCCATAGGTCTTGTGTTTGTTCTCAGCGGAAGTTGCCCGTTTCTGAGGAGGTTGAGGTGGCGGTAGCGGTGGGGGTGGAGCGAATAGAGATCTGGGTGCATCGCAGGGAATAGGAGGCCCCTCTGGTTGGCTTCCAATGGATTCCCCTCCTACGCTCGAACCGTCCCTTGGGTCTCACGTGGATGTATCTCCCATTCAGATTGGTGTCTCCACAAGCGTTGAACCACCAGCCACCTGCAAAAGCCCGTAAGATTAGTTCAACTTGATGCTGGTGTGAAAAACAGCAGACTCCATTCAATCTAATGATCCATTAAATCGTATGCTTCATAAATTAGATACAAATCTTTCAATAAATACTTTTATTCAGAACAAACCCTTACGATAAACCATGCATCCATAAAATGTCGTCCTCCCCAGTCCCCACTACTGTACCTGTGTAGGTGTAAGCGCAGTGTGAGTCTTCAAGGTTGTCATTGTCCCGGTCCTTGGTGGAGAACTTCATACCGGTGTGGTTGCTCATTGCATCAGGCAGATTTCCGGATGCCTGTGAGAGGTGGATAGTATAGTGGGCCTCTGGTCCATCCAGAGAGAAGTTGTATTCGATGACGCGTTTGCCCTGTTTCCAGTCCTCCAGTTGGATGTTCAGAAAAGAGTCACCTTGACTAGCCAGGGAGTGGACCTTCTTCAGACCCAGCCAGAACTCCCCTGTAACACAGACAAATCCATAAGGCTCAGTGCTGAAGTTGTACACACACACCCAGGCACGTGAGGTGATGACAGCATCAGTGCTTTAATAATTGAGTACTCTGGTCTGGTGCACTGGCCATGAGAAAATACACATTGCACCTCACAATTCGATCACTCACCTTGAAAGTCTCCAAATCCGTTTTCATACTTCTCCCAATTCTGATCGAAATTCACAGACCCATCCTTCCTTCTCTGGATTATAGTAGCCCCTCCATCTGCAGAAAGGAAAGAGGAAGTACTTGAACCCAAATCAATAAATATACATTAGTACACAATGTTTCAGTCCAGTAACGGATCTGCATTGGCGCTACTCATTGTCTGTCTTACCTTTATCCATGTCGCAGTAGACCATGAAGGGCTCGGATTGGTTAGGTTTGATGGCGTACACTCCACTGGCTCTCTCGCCTCTGGTAAATAGCTCACAGCAGTCTGATGGGAGATCTGTGGCATAACCACTCACACAGTCAATCAGCAGCACTCGGCAGTGACTGAACAACCCTGTTGTCCCTCAAACATTGTGTTTTGTGTGGACCTTGTGTTTTGGAGGGCCCCTAAAATTGCCAAAGTATCAGCTAAAGGGAGTACAAATTAACAAATGATCATGACTCTTTTAAGCCACCTTACCTGTCATGTCTAAGCTGCCATTGGCAGAGGTGTTGGTCAGATACCCAGTGAGGGCTGGCGTGACAGACTGGAAGTTGTCAGATGGTTTCTCAATGGTCTCTTGCATGAAAGGGTTATAGGTGAGCTAAAAATGCAAAGGAATAGTGTTGTACTATAAAAATGTAGTCATTTGCCTGCTGTCATGATTGGAAGACTGTAAGGCTCAAGCTAGATCAATTGTTGTACAATAGCAGTAACTACCTTCTCCTCCAGAGTCTTCATCTTGCTCCTCTGGTGGTCAAGCTGGCCACTCTGCTCTCTCACAGCCTTCAGCAGCTCAGTGATGCTCCTCTCCTGGGTGTGGATCACATCCTGAGGGACACATGATGGGACCGGGTAATTTCTCCAGACATTACTATTTATCATAGGGTACAATATGTCTATCTGGTAGTATTGTGCTGTTACTCTTCAAGGAAATGGAGTAGGCTAATCACTATGTAAAAGAACCAAAGGTGACTTTAATCTATTTATCTTCTTGAGGTTTGTTGAAGTGTCTGAAAATTCCCCATAAACTTTCCATTGGTTTCCATATCAATATTCTACATGGATATTTTGTGAGTTTTGTGAGAATGTTAATCAGCTTTAACCCCATGCTCAACTCAAAACAGCATTTCCCCCATGGGTTAAGGTCAGTTTGGGGTGACTCACCTTCAGTGCGCTGATCTCAGCCAGCTGATCGGTGGGCACCAGGCCCTGAGACAGGCTGCTCAATTTCTCCTCCAGCCCGCCCACCTTGCTCTGAAGCTGGCTACGCTCCTGCAGTATGCTCTCCACCTTGGAGTTGATCTCCAGCGACAGGCTTTTGATCTCCTCGTTGTTGGCCTTGAGCACCACCGTGGTCTTCTTCAACTCCTCCTCTTCCTCCTTGATCTCGCTGGCCAGCACAGAGAGCTGGTTGAAGGAGTGGTCAAAGATGTTGAGTTTCTGGAAGATGTCATTGATCTGGCCCTTGGTCTTGTGGACGAAGTCCCTGAGGCTGTGGCCGAGCTGGAGGAGACCGTTGGCCAGGAGACGCACGTCGTCAAGAGCGGCGAAGCGGGAGCGGGCTTCGACGGCGGGAACCTGAAGGAGGGGAGGGTCTTCGGACATGGGCTCCTCCTTGGTGCAGAGGACCAGGGGCCAAGAAGCCACAAGGACAAACAGAAAGGTTAGCGTTAGCTTCATGATGTTTGTTTCTGTCTTTAGACCGTCTCGTGTTGATAGTGAGCTGGCCAGCCGGCCACTTGAGTCCCCTCTTCGCTTGAAAAGACGCCACAGGACACAGAACTGGGAAACTATATAGGCTGCCTGGGATGAGGTTGATTATTAACTGACTTGGTCTCAACTGAATTTGCCTCTGCAAATATGGATGCAGCATCCATGAGTCCAGCTTACAAAGAGCTTAACCCTTTGATGAGTATAGGCTTTGTTTGAAATTACTGGTGTCAGTTATTTCCATTATTTCAGTGTTCTATTCTGAAATTCTAAACAAAAGAACTGAGTGGGCAGCTGTGTGTGATGCAATCAATTGGAATGTTTAGTTCAAAACACACTGGTGTGCCAGCCTGGTATCAGCATCCACCAACAATGGCTATTCCAAAATGTCCACATCAGTGTCCCAGTCGGTGAATCGTCATGGACGCCCAAATAAATAGTTGTTGGTTCTCAATGATGGGGCCAAAGTCCAAAAATATATTTGCACTTGGAACAGTGTGCACTATTATCAACAACTGTGCATAACATATTATATCTGATTTGAGTTTCTTTGTATAGACATTCATAACATTCACATTCGCAGGTAATGATGTCACTGAAGTGCAGTGAAGTGATTCTAAATGACCTAGAGTAAACTTTCTGATCAGGCCATGGGTCTCTAGTGGCGGGTCTGTTTGTCTCTCAGTGAAAAAGTTACTAATGAGGCTGTTTTTTTTTACAAACTATTACCAGTTCCTGGTAATAGTTTGTAGTAAACTCCAGATGACCCAGTTTACATATTATATTGATTGTGTAACATGACCTACAGGTGTAGGATCTTAATTGTATCATTATTTTGTTGCTGAGAAATGTCCTGCGCCACAGGAAATGCAGATGAGCTTCAACATTTACATAAATTCAATGAAAACCCACACAAAGTATTCCACTTTTAAATCACCACGGGAGCATATTAGAGTTGCGGACATTCCTTTCTACTTTTGGGTCTACTCTACAAAATAGGGTACTCATCCCTACTGATACAGCTGATACTTCTACATGTATAGTAGTGGTGATATCCCAGCTAGCACACAACATTCTGAGAACCATATGTTTCTTAAAGCTTGATTCCATGGATAGAGAACAGAATATCATAGATATCATAGCTTCTAATCTCACTGATGCCATGCCACAATAAAAAAGAAATGTGTTTGCATGATTACTGCCTAAGCAAATTAATTTCCATGTGTCCTATCTGTGCTTGGAATTCAAAACAGTTAACCCAAACTAAGCTAGCAGTGTTATTAAAAGTATTATTGAAACATTCTCAGTGAAAGTTTTAAGGAAGTTATTCAAAAACCTCCAAATAACCGTTAATAAAACCTCCCAGGAAAACTTTAAAGGAACCAGAGTAAAACATTCTCCGAACCTCCTGGCAACCTAAAAATAAATGTTCCAAGAACAGGCATCATTTTCACTTCTGTTCTCAGAACAATTAAAAAACTTTCAATTTTAACGGTCAGGAAACATATGGCTTTGTTCCCACAACCAATGTGAAACCAAAAACATACGTTCCCACAACTTCCAAGGAACCAAATGTGCTAGCTGGGTAGTGTGCAATTATTATTTTTTTATACAGTTTACTCTTAGTTAGTCAGCACCTCTACACATTTTTTGGGGTGTGTGTCAGATCATGCTTTTGAATAGTCTACGTAAGAACGCAACGGAAAAAATGCAATTAGCTATGCAAGATGGCTGTCCTATGTAATAAAAAATTTAATAAAAATAACAGGACAGGCAAAAGAATAACTAAAGTCATGGTTGCCAACAGTCTTTTGGCTATTGTAGTCTTTTGACTGTGGAACCAAAGGAATACAAAAAATACAAAAAGGCAACGAGTATGATGCTGTGAACTATTCACACAAATATTTACAAAAAATATACAGTATACAAGGACCAAATCAGCATATTATATTACTGCAACGCATTTCGACCAAACAGGTCTTACTCAAGCAGCGTCTGACCAACCAAAGGAATCTCTCAAATTCTCGTAAGTGATGCAATAACCTAACATAGAAACACCTGAGTGGAGTTCCCACATCCGTGTTTTAGCGACAAAGGAAGCTAGGTTGAATTAGCTGTATCCTTGAAAACCGGATGCCTCCAGTCAGGGTGGAATGTTGCCAAAATTTGTAACGCGTCGCAACTATGCAGTGTAGCCATTTTGCGTAGCTTATTGTGTTCTTGCGTTCTGTAAACAGTAAATTAGGCTTTAGAATTGTCTCGTTGAGGAAAACCTGATTTGACCAATTGATCTTTAAACTCTAATTTGTATTTGAAGTTTAATAGATTTCCATCAAAATGGGAAAAATAGCTTTTTAGATAAAAAACTATTTCTCAAGCAAGAATTTTGCTAGGACTGTCTGGGAGTGGTCTAAATGGGGAGGGGGAAACTGAAAACTAGCTGTTATTGGCAGAGAGGTTTTGAACTCTCTTTGTTATTGGTCTATTAACCAATTTACCGTATGGTGATGTCACCATTGAAAGCCGAAACTCCCATCCATGCAAACCTGCTGATTAAAAGGTTTGCATGGTCTAAGGCACTGCATCGCAGTGCTAACTGTGCCACTAGAGATCCTGGTTCGAATCCAGGCTCTGTCGCAGCCGGCCGCGACCGGGAGACTCATGGGCGGCGCACAATTGGCCCAGCGTCGTCCAGGGTAGGGGAGGGAATGGCCGGCAGGGATGTAGCTCAGTTGATAGAGCATGGCGTTTGCAACGCCAGGGTTGTGGGTTCGATTCCCACGGGGGGCCAGTATAAAAAATATAATAATATATGTATTCACTAACTGTAAGTCGCTCTGGATAAGAGCGTCTGCTAAATGACTAAAATGTAAATGTAAATGTAAAAGGTCCTGTGTAGAATGTATTATCAACCAGCAACTATCAGGATATAACACTGATCACATTTATTCACACTTTTACAGTGTTAGTTTCAGCAGAATTTTGACTGCACTGGGCCTAAAGATTCAGTAAGATAAAGTTTAATCTGCCACAAGTTTGACAGTCGATAACTGGTTTTCCTTTAACTGTCTGCGGCCAGGAAATTGGCCTGCTATATGAGTGTACAGGGGCATTTTATAATCAACTAGTCAAACAGTTTTCCAAATGATAATCTACAGTAGACACATATTGCTTGTTTGTTGGCTCATGGGAACAAACCAAAGCCAATATGTGCTGTTTGAGCAATCATGTTTGATCAGTCATGTTTCAGGTCCAACCACAGATGTCTCTTTTTCTGTCCTTGCTGTCATACATCCCCATTTAGCTTTATCATGTGTCTGTCCATGTGATGTGTAGAGCAGACAGGCAACTCGCAATTGCATCTTGTGCATCATAGTTTTCTTAACTCTGGTGAAATGATCACCTCCTTATAAGGGTCAGTAGCTAGGTTCCCATCCAATTGGCGACATATTTTAATGTGAATATTCTAAAATCGGCATAAAAACAATATGCATTTTTTGCGGTTAAATTCCCATGTACCGAATATAAAATACAAATTAAATGAGTTTTCCATTGCATTTTCAGATCTATTGATGGTTTTGTCTCAAAACATGTTGCATTATATAGAGAATGTGCCTACTCTGGTCTTGGCACGTGCCCTCTAGCCAACAGCTCACAGATACAATGCGGGTATAGCATTCATGATGAGATTATTATTGACAAAAGAGCAGGATAATTGTTATATGTCAAACGTCAGCCAAGCATCGATCGTCATGTCACCAGAACAAGACCCTTGATATTTATTGGACAGGAGCATCAAGCTCATCACCGTGCACTTTCACCACCCTGTGAAGTTCATCATAACTTATTTCATCTGTAGCTTAATAAACTGCATGCTTTCCCGAGTCGTAGTGAGAGGACCAAACAACATATCATTGCGTAACTTCAAATTTACTTCGGTATTATGGTTATTATATCAATATTTGCGCATAAAGGCGATTCCACTGCCATTTCTCGCATAATTAATTTTACAGACACAAAAAGATCCCGCCTTGTCTAGCGTATTTTGTTTTGTCGACATTTGGAAAGTTTCGCGACAAATTTGCTGTTTCCATCAGGCCTGTCGTGACATATTCTTTTATCCAACATGTACTCTACTCGCAAATGAAATGTATTATTATTATTATATGTTCAAATAGTATATTGAGCTTGTCTGGTGCAATGGAATGGTCCCAAATGTGAAAACCCAGCCCATCTGGCACTCCAGGTAGGCTCAAACAAACACTCAGGAGAACATTTCCGTCACGCAAAAGAGCCTAGGGCCGGTTTCCTAAAAGCATTTTAAGGCTAAGTTCATCTTAGAACCATTGTTAGAACCATTGCAATGGAACCATGTGGTTCTTATTCATCCCTCATGAATAACAACTCATAACACAAATATCATAGTCTAACTTTCAGGGTCAAATAATACATCATCATTGTCCCTGAGACAACGCCTATCTTATTCACAGTGAATGCTGGCTTTAGGGATCACTTGACATTCAACACAGGGAGATTTACAGTGGGGAAAAAAAGTATTTAGTCAGCCACCAATTGTGCAAGTTCTCCCACTTAAAAAGATGAGAGAGGCCTGTAATTTTCATCATAGGTACACCAGAAAATCACATTGTAGGATTTTTAATGAATTTATTTGCAAATTATGGTGGAAAATAAGTATTTGGTCACCTACAAACAAACAAGATTTCTGGCTCTCACAGACCTGTAACTTCTTCTTTAAGAGGCTCCTCTGTCCTCCACTCGTTACCTGTATTATTGGCACCTGTTTGAACTTGTTATCAGTATAAAAGACACCTGTCCATAACCTCAAACAGTCACACTCCAAACTCCACTATGGCCAAGACCAAAGAGCTGTCAAAGGACACCAGAAACAAAATTGTAGACCTGCACCAGGCTGGGAAGACTGAATCTGCAATAGGTAAGCAGCTTGGTTTGAAGAAATCAACTGTGGGAGCAATTATTAGGAAATGGAAGACATACAAGACCACTGATAATCTCCCTCGATCTGGGGCTCCACGCAAGATCTCACCCCGTGGGGTCAAAATGATCACAAGAACGGTGAGCAAAAATCCCAGAACCACACGGGGGGACCTAGTGAATGACCT